CAGGCACAGTCTGATGAGGGTGGCCATTCATACCTCTGTCGGGCTGTTTTCTTATCTGGATATCTAATGGTTTTGGAACTTATTTCATCAACTACTTTGTAAACTTAAGGGGCCTAGGAATGTAGGGCATTTCTTCTTTCTTCTGTCCCCATCATGGTCTAGTGGAATAAAAACTAGACTTGGGGTTCAGACTCCCAACTCTACCAAACTAGGTGGCCTTCGACATCCAGCCTTCTCATCCAGCCCAGCAAGATAGTACTGAATCCCTCAAAGGGGTGTTCAGAAGAGCAACCAAGACTCCCACAAACTGTGGGGCTATGTACAAATGTAAGGAATTAGTGAACATGCATGTTGAAATATGTTGAATGTTATAGAGAGGAATATAATTCCTTAAACTAGGCACACAGTCATTATGGGTTTCTATGTAAGATTCCTTTTGAAAGTAAAATAGTAGTTCAGAGGTAGAGTCCTTACCTATCATGTACAAGGCCCTATATATATATATATATATTTATATTATACATATATAAATATATGTGTGTATATATATAGAGAGAGAGAGAGGGAGAAGAGAGCATATACATAGAAAAATAATATAGAAAAAAGCTAACATACATCAACAAAGCACATTGCTGTCACTAATGAACTTGGAAAGTTTTAAACCTCTGTGATTTTTCAGTAAATCAATGCCTTTTATAGTTTAAATTATGTTAATTATGTTTGTGTTTTATGGGGATATTCAACATACTATAAAATACTGTGGTCTTGAGCACTTTAATGGTTATAGGTGAATAAATCTGGTAATAGAATTACTCTTAAATTTTATTATCTTGTGTGGTTTTCTTTATTCTCCACATTTGTTTTTTAAACACACAATACCTTTTTCCTGATTTTGAAATACTAAAAAAGAATAAACTGGGCGTGGTGGTACATACCTGTAATCCAGCACTCTGTGAGGCTAAGGCAGGAGGATAGTAAGTTTGAGCCCAGCCTGGGATACTTAGTGCCTTAATGAGAACCTGTCTCAAAATAAAAAATTTTAAAAGGTCTGGGGATGGAGGGTGGAGCTCAGTGTGAAGGCTCTGAGTTCAATCCTCAGTACCACAAAAAGAAAAAAAAAATAGGAAAAAGGAGAAAGGAAAAAAAGAAGGAAGAAAGAAAAATTTCCTGTTTATTTCAAGTTTTTCTTCTGTTTTGGACTGGAGACTGACCAGACTTGTGTGAGAAAACTTTAAAAATTACTGTAGGAATAATGTAAAGTAAAAATTATCCAAATTGATACTGTCAATTCATAAGAAATATATAAATTAAAACCAGTATTAAAATTCTTGATCGAGTATCTCTTAAATCTGTAGTTAAAAAAACCAAACACTTCTTTGATTGAAAAGCAGGGAGGTGTAACAACACATACTGTAGTCAGATGTGCTGAGATGTTATGAAGACAATGTCCAGAGGGTAGAAGAGGTAGTGAGAGGTGAGAACACAGCAGATGAGGGTAAGAAAGGAACAAAATTTCATGTACTTGTCGTTATGTTGTTTATGTTTTCAAAGTGGCAGATGGAGTAGGAACTGCTCTGCATGACAAGTGCCATCCAACCTCCTGCCCTCGCCCTGGGGAGCATCCTCACACTGCTTCCTGCTGGAGGCTGCCAAGAGATGAATGTGAGGCCACACGAGTGCCAGGCTGGCCTGAGCTCATTTGCCTCTGCCTGCTGAGCAGTCATGCTTGGATTTCTCTGCTTCCTGTGGCAACGCTAGGCTGGGCCACACCATGCCTGTGCATTCTCTGCTCCAACACAGCACAGCTCTGGGCTGCCAGTTGGCCACACTGAACAAAGCTGGTTACTTTTCAGGTAATTGCCTTGTGCAATAAACTCCCAGCCAGCTCGGTCTAAACCCAAGAAACATGTTCCCTTTTTAAGCCTGAGTTTAGCTGTGTTTCCAGTAGTTGGTCTAGAAAAGCCCGGTCACGTGAAGCTACGTACCCTCCCCCTCATTCTCCCAGCTAGGTTCTACAGCAATTAGAGCTTGACCCTTTTATTTAGTCAGCCACCTAGGCCATCAGGAAAAGCTGACATGTTGTTCCTTGGCTGACCAACCACTTAGCACATCCCCTGTCCAAGGGATTTAGGTTGCAGAAGACATTCTGGTTCTCAAAACCTAGCTCATGATTTATATAGATCCTGTCTTGTCAGGTACATGCTGTGCAACTTGGGAAAACATTAAAATCATTTGAGAACTATGCTAAAATTTGAAACTTCTATGAAATAGACACTATTGAAAAATGACAAGACAAAGAATGGGAGAAGATAACTGCCACACTTACAACCAACACAATTGATATGTAGATATAAGCAAATCAACAAGAACCACATAACAGAAAAATGGACCAACAAGCAAGTGACCAAAGGGAAAACCTGAAGGGTCAATCATATACAAAAGGACCTTCAGCCTCAAGAAAAGGAAACTAAAACTTCAGTGAAGTAACTGGGTGGGTAGCATACAGCTATAATCCCAGCACTCTGGGAGGCTGAGGCAAGAGGATCACAAATTGGAGCTCAGTCTGGGCAACTTACTGAGACCGTTTCAGATTTAAAACACACATCCATACACACACAAAAGCAAATCCAATCACCTGTAGGGAAAAGGGAAAGGGGATGCCCTGAGTCCTGGTCTCCTGTGAGCCAGGACAGCACAAGGCAAATTAATAAAGACCAGAAACAAGACTGAGAGAAGCTGAGCTTTGAGCCTGATCAATGCTGTTCTGGACAGCAAAGATGAAGGCACCCTCACCTTGCCACAATTTTATTTGGTACATTGGGAGTAACAGATAACTCAGAGGGTGGTGATAATCCTAGCACACTGAGGAATTTACACAGATGAAGATCCTAGGTTGATGAGGAACTTATGTTGATTAGGAATTTGTTCCTCCCCAGGTGAAACCTTTCTCTTACTACTTCAAGGAACCAAGATGTTTTCAGCTGATGTAATCCTGCCCTGGAGTGTCAAGGGAGCTGTGTCTTGACGTGTCATAGCTGGGCCGTAGGCAGGAAAACTAGGCCTAATCATTTGTGAAATAACTTTTCCCAAAAATTATGTAAATTGCGCCTGACAATCACCCAAACAAACCTATAAAAACTTCAGTGAACTATTGTTTCAGACCAATCAGACTGGCAAAACCTAAAGTCTGACACCACCTAATATTGGTGAATATTATAACATTAAGAATTCTTAAATGCTGCTAGAAGCCTAAATTGATACATTGGAGAGCAATTTGCAGTTGAAAATATGTATAATCTACATGCTAGTATACAACTAAGGAAACAAAAATCACTCTTATGTATTGAAACAGAAAGACTTTAATCCAAGGAATTATCTGAAGATGGAAAGAGCTGAGAAGTCAAAGAGTAGACAGGAGGGCAACCAGGGATTAGCATCTTCAGGCAGCCATGCCCACTTCCGGTCTAGACACAAACGTGTGGGGATGCAAAGATCAGGTATTAAATGGAGTTTCTGGAAGCTGGAATCAGGGCACGGCTGCCCAACGGATGTTAGAACTGCAGAAGTGATACCATCTGAGTCAGGAGAGAGAGACAGGCTCTCTGGCTTCTCTCTTCTGTCTCCCTCCCACTCTCTCTCTCACTCTCTAAACCCATTGGCAAGCCAGGTGACATAGGAATCCTGGGAAGAGTAACCTATGTGGGTCAGATCCATGAGAACAAAGCAGAACAAGAAAAGGGCACACGGATCTGCCAGATACATAAAAACCTATGCAGATAAACAAGTGGAGTCATATATAATAAGATTCAAGAAAAGGAAACTAAAACTTCATCAAATTAGCTCAGTGTGGTGGCAAATACCTGTAATCCCACCTCACTGGGAGGCTGAGACAGAATCACAAGCTTGTTCCTAAGGGGAAAACCTGAGAAACAAGGGTCTATCAAAAGGAGAAAAGGTCCATGAGTTATGATAGAGTCATACAATGAAATATCATACAACAGTGATAGTCAAAGAAATACAACTATATGTATCAACATGGAAGAATCTCACAAAGCAGAGCAAAACCACGGAAATAAATTTCAAAATATATATTTACATAAAGCACAAAGCAGGCAACATGATAGATGGATAGACTGTAAAAGTATAAAGAAAAGTTTAACATAATCTTATTTGGGGAAGGAGATGTGATTGGGGACAGGTATATTGTAGGTTTCGAGTAAAATAATGGAGCTGGATGAGGGGTACATGGCAGCAATGTATCATTATTTATCGTTTTAATTTTACAAAGGAACTTGGAAGATGGGTGGCATGGGCCTGTCTTCTTTACTGGCAGGAGCAGCCCTGTTGCCCGTTTTAGAGGTAGTATGTGATGCATTCTCAAGTGTGCCCTGGCCCGATGCCTCCCTCTAGCTATGTGGGTCAGATCCCTTGTGATCCATGAGCTAGAAACACAGCCCTTGCCCCCAGCACGACACAAGGGAACCTCAACACCAGCATTCTCCTGACTACCCTGCAGATCCTGTGGGTAGGAATTACACTCCAGACTTTAGTTCAAGTAGACACTGGTCTGTCACAGTGGCAAGAAACATGCTTCCAAGTTCCTCCAAGGGTTACCTTGTCCCCTCCCCATTACATGTGTTAGACGGCAGCATCTTTAGAGCACAGCAGCAGCCCTCCCAAGACCACCAGCCCCCTGGATCTGCCTGCTTCACTCTTCATTCATTGGATGAAGGATCTAAGTAGGGCCAGTTTGATGGGCTTGTGACCCAGTCACACAGGGCGCCGCACGAGTATTCTGTGCTTAACGGTTGGGTGTGGCTGACTTGAATTTCTTATACTTTTGAACAAGAGGCTCTGCATTTTCATTTTGCAGAGGGCTCCATAAATTGTGTAACTTATCCTAGACCTAGGAGTTGTGAGACTGGCTCTTAGCCCATTTCCTTATAAACATGAATATCAGATATGCAATATTGCCTTAGTGAAAACTGAGACATGAGGAGTCCTTCTAAAAAACTCTATTACATTTATACACTTGCAAGAATCTGTCTGCCCCATGAGAGTATATAAAATCCACCAAAGGAAGAACTTTATTTACTTCAAAACAGTGTCCTTAAGTCTTACCAGTTTGGCTCACAGCAGGTGCTCAATGGACACTCCCTGGATTAACAGGTATGACACCATTAAATGTGTTCTGAAATTGTTTTCCTTTATGATTTTTATTTTTAAAATTACTTTTCTAGAAGTGTTTTCTAATAACAGTTTACCTGACAATCTAAGCCAGATTTTAGAGGATATATTCTTGAAGAATTTAAATAACATAAATTTTTCCACAGGAAAGTATATAAAGTAGAGAGATGTTCCTTCAAAATCTGTAGCTATCATGTCACATTTATGCTTTAATGCTTTTTATTTTCTCAAGATTATAACTAATATTGTATGAAGTCCTTGTTCTAAAATGTTCCATGGGAGTTGTATGGCCTTTGTTGTGACATTAAAAGCACATCTGAAGTTCATTCAAAAATTTCTAATTTTCAGGCACACTTTTCATCACTAGCCTCGTTGTCCCCAGTGAGATTGCTTCAGAATATAAAGACATTTCACTTTATGGGAACAGTAATGTTTCAACAAGTAGAGTCCTCACTACAAGCACCTGCAGCTGTGGTTCAGGGAAACCACAGCCTGTGTGCACACAGCCTGGACAAAGGACTGCACAGATTGGCCAAAATGACATGTGTCAACAAGACAAACCAGTCACAATTCAATCAGCTGCAAACTTGAAATGAATTCTCAAGAATTGGTGTTTACATCATTTCAAAATGCTAAGCATTAAATTAGACATTCCTCAAACTTTGACACTTTCATAGTTAAACGCAACCAAATTATACTGGCACTAGGTTATCTAGATTTTTTTTAATATCAAAGAAATTTAAAATCCTGCAATAAAATAAGCACCTTTAGATTTTTAATGTAACCTTAAACACACTGCTCTAGGCTGAACACAATACTGGATGGTGAATAAGCCAAGAAGCAAGTTTTGTGCAGCTTCAAAAAATACAAAGGGTTATATATTGGCAGCACAACTAACACAAGGAATCCTTTAAATTCATTTGCTCAACATAGCAAATGATGGAGGAAGTGAAATATCTGACTATGTAATATTTAAACCCTAGACAAAACATCTCAGTGTAATTCAGGAAGTGCATTATTTACTTTGATCCCACTCAAAGGTAGCTGGATAATTAGTTTTCTTTAAACATTCAGTTTTGCTGACATCTCATTTCCCAAAAACAGCTGTTAGCCAAATATAGTGTTGTTTATTCACTCCCTGACAGGCTGTTTTTAAAAAGTACTTCTTCTGGTAAAAATGTTGCATCATATAATTGGCGATAACAGGAAAAACAGGAGTTGCTGCTTGTATTTAAATAAACGTCTGTTTAAGTCCAGTTTTCTGTTTGTGAACAGTCCTTTTATTTCATGCCATTAAGCCCTCTGAAGTAGTTTATTCCTTTGCCTTTCAGACATGCTAGGAAGCATTCTAAACATGGAAACACGAGATATTTCTCTTGAAAAAGGTTGAGCTCATTGCTTTTTACTATATGTTAGATATTTCTGGGCCACATAGATCTTACAATGGTAAGATCTATAGATCTTCTGATGATATACTATTAACTATCCCAATGTTTCTTGTCTGATAAATTCCTATAATTAAACTGCAGTTGGATAGTTTGTCACTGCTTGGGATATGGCTATTTAAAACAAAATGAAAACTGCTGTCCCTGTAGAGAATTCACTCAATACCTATGTAACAGTGAGCTTGGTCTCTACCTACTCGGATTGTTGGTCTTTTCACTTCTAATTTTTAAGAACTGAAAACCCATCTTATGCAATTTTCTCAGATGATTCCTAATTTCTCATTGGATGTCTGAATTCTTTATTTTATTCTTGAAATGCACAATTTCTTTCTTGACTCTACTATTGACTCCAACTTCATTATTAGAGCAGATCCAAAACAGAAATCTTTCCTAAGCCAGTAAATCCAGGTTCTATTATTGCTCACTCTTGTTGAAATCTTCAGTCCCCTCATCAGTGAAATAGATAGAATTAAATGATGCCCAACATACACGCAACTCTAAAATTTTATCATTTCACTAACTAGGAATGATTTGGCAAATGCATGTGGATTACATGGAGAATACCAAAATTTGGAGACATGAGGCATTTTAATCTATGTTACTATGACCCAGTTAGTATGGGAAATTAAGACCTAAAGACTGCATTTGTCATCCAGTTCATGGGGCTTCAAATTGAGGTTGACTAGTCAAAAATGTAGCATTTTGGGTTCATCTGGAAAACTGATCTTTTTTATGTTCTGAGCTACTTCCATTAGTGCTTGTGCATGAGGAGTATTTTAAATCAGAAGCCAAAGAGTATTTCTAAAACTGCTCAGATTCTAGCAAGCTTTAAGGATGAAGCAAATGCTCTGCTTCCCTTTTGGATCCTGGAATCAGGGAACACATTTCATGAACACATTTATATTTTCTTGCACATAAATACATTTGTCATGACACCTGAACCATTAAGACAAATGGCTATGTTCAGTTGGGAAATTTATCTTTCCTCTTGTAAAGAATGCACTGATATAATCATTCTTGTGATTTTATAGTTCACAGCATTTTTATAGTATAGGAAACTTCTATTGATATAGCGTATGCTATTTAATTACTATAAAGCTCCTTTCACATATAACTACCAATAATCATTAGCAAATAAATTCTCCAAGTACATTCTGCTTTTGTTATTGCATTATTTCCTTAACAGAAAAGTATAGCATGGTTTGAAATCATTTCTCAAGGGAAAGAATAACTACCTATAGAAAAATGTATTACAGATTTCTATTCCTGACTGGTAAAAATTAGGTACCAAAAACAGTATAAACATTCCTTCAAAGTTTAAGTCCTTTGAAAAGTCAATAGACACATAATACATTTATATTAGTATCATTATACACACTAATATTAGAAGCTGCAGTAAAAACAATTACTACAGGCAATTTTAAATAGATTTTAAAGGAGGAAATTAATATACATTATGAATGATTTTTAAGTAAAATTGAGGGGTTTAAAAAAATTATCTAATCATTGTCCTGGTTCTTAACAGCTATATTAATTGGGACTCTGAGGTTTAAATGACAGAAACCCAACTTAAACTAGGTTAAAGGGGGATTTAAAAAAGAAAATCACACACACACACACAACTCATGCGCCAAAGGAGATGTCAGGTGGCTCACAAATTTTAAAAGCAGTCGTACAGGAGCCAGGACCCCAGGGACATCATGCCCCAGAAATCTCATCTCGGTTGGCTCGAGTGGAGATGTTGCTCAAGCTGTCATCATCCCAGCTTAATGTCGGCAGGGCCCTCATTGGTCTTGTGAATTCATTTGCCTACCCTTTGGATCAGATCTTACTGCTGGGTTACTGTACACTGGACTGAACAAGCAGAGACCCAGAACTAAGGACCCCTCAGGATCACATGCAGTAGTGGAGAGTTCCCAAATACATGGGAATACTACCTAAGTGGATAAGAAAACCAGATGAACTGAAAACTGCATCGTACCTTGGAGAGCTTGCTCAACATTGAGGCAGGCATTTTTATTAATCTGTTCACAATACAAAAAAATTCTATGTTCTATGAAAGCTCAGATTCCAGTTTGAATATAGCAACTATTTAAACATAATTTGAAATGGGCCTATTATGAACTATATCTTGCTAAAGAACTACAAAGTTTGCTCCATCCAATAGCTTCCAAGTCTCTTCAAGCACTTTAAAATATTTAATTAAAATTTATTTTAGCTTTTAATCTAAGTCCCCAGGAGAACTTTTATTATTTTATTAACTCTTCTAAAATGATTATTTTAGAACTTTTTATATGTAATGCTTATATACATAGGAATATTTTATTATATATTTTGTACTAACTGCTCTGCATCTTTATTAATGTATTTAAATTTTAAAAAAGAAAAAACTCAAAAAAGGATGGTTAACATTTAAGATTTTCAGTATAGTGCTGTGCTCAAGAACATAAAGGTCTCACACTGATGACTATATATAATACATAGCCCACTCTTCCTCCCTCTGAAGAATAGACTGAAATAGAATTAAAATATTGCATGATGCTATGGAGTTTTAAGACAAATTAGATACATGTCCAAAGTCATCAAATTCACCATCAACTGATAACAAGCTTCATTATGATCAACTGGGAAGCTTTTAAAAAAATATTGCTGGGGGCCAGGGATTTAGCTCAGTGGCTCCCTGCCTGCCTCACAAGTGCAAGGCCCTGAGTTTGATCCTCGGTACTGGAAAATAAATAAACAAAATAAAAATATTCCTGGGATGCACTACCCAATTTCCAAATCAGAATTGTTTAGGGTAGTGCCAGAGGTAGTTCTCAGGTGTTTCTGGCACATTACACTTTTAAAAACCAATGGCCTAGTCATTTTAAAACTAATCAGAGCCCCCACAACACAAAAATATGCATGAGGTAAGTACCTGATTCAGTAACTTTATACCAAGTCACTGAAATTGACATATTTTACAGAACTACATAAATATTTGGAGCAAGATCAAAAGTAGGTGAAACATTATAGCAATGTTAGTGTTCTACCATCTATCTCTTTGCCTTGGCCTACCAAAGTAGTTCTAAATGGATGGCTTACTGATGTTTTAGACAAGTAGACTCCACTGAGTGAAGTTCCCTCTACCATATTTTAAGGCCCCAAACATTTGTTTATCTCATATTTGTGTTACTAAAACAAGAGTATATATAAGACACACTGATGTAGTCTACTCTAGTGGTTAATGCTGTTTAAGATAGGTTAATGGTTAACATAGATTCTGAACCACTGAAGAGTTGCAGTTTGAAAAAGTTCTAGTTCAACGTCTCACTTCCTACGTAAAGAAACACAAGCGTGTAGATATGCATGCTACTGCACCAAATGAAATCTTTTGTGGGACATTTTCATTTCCCAAATTCCTACCATGGAATCTTTAACAACTCTCCCTAATATGACCCTAAATGGTTTCCATCTGCAGGCTCTGCATTCTTCTACATCAAGTTGACTTACCCTAATTCCTAGAACAAGGCAACCAACTGCCAACTGTTGCATCGGCAAAGAAAGTGACCCACTCTTTCAACTACAAGTGCAAAAATTTTAAGACAAGGATAAGATAGATCACTTACTGCAGATTCAAACAGGTGTAAGAACCAATAACACAGGAATGCAGATTCAAGCCATAGGTAACAAGGAAAAAAAAAAATAAAAAATTAGGCCAGTAAAACAATAGCTACATCCTAAAACAGTAATAAAACTATTTTTATACACAATTCTCTTGGCTATAGCAAAAATTTAAACTAGGGTGCTCATAGGTAAGAATTACAATAAAGCAATTCTCAGAGCTAGTGATTTTAGCTAAATATTTGTGTATTAGAACTTTTGTAGAAGGTTGCTAATAAACCACATTGTCAAAATTTGTAAGTAAAGTCAGACCTGAAAGCCAAGATAAGCATCCCCTGCATAGCTGTTACTTCTGGCCAAAGCATAAGAATTCACTTAGACAAATAGCTTTCACAATGTACCTAAAAATAGGAGGGTTCATAAATTTTCAAAACTTTTCTTCCCCGCTGTGGACAGCCCTTGATCTTAGACTGTAAAACTTAGCAAACTTTGGCATGCACTAATGTTAGTTTTATAAGTTACTGAAAACCCCTTATAAATTTAGCATTATTTCTCAGATCCGTATAGCACTCTCATCCTGAATGCTTAAGCATTTAGGTCACAAACTGAAATACCAGTTAAAAAATATTCATCTTTAAGCAGTCTGTATAGTTACCACATGGCAAGAAACAGACCAGAAAATGTAAACATTCAGAGCATAAAAATACTTCAAAGTATTACAAAACTTGAACTTAGCACACTTACCTAAATTTCAGTACTTCCAACTATAGGAAAACATAACTGCTGTAAAGACTGAGATG